TTAATAATTAATATGTTAATTAGACGAGTGGATGTTATTTAATGCGGTAATTAGACGTATCGCGAGGGATAATGTGTGTGTGTGTGCGAGTGTTCAGGCTCTGAAATCCTGCAGACGACCAACGTCAACGTCGCAGGATTTTGAATGGAAGGGGGATGTTGGTAGAGGGTTGCAAACGTCAAGAGGCAATACGATAAAAAATAATATCTTAAGTCATTCGGATCGTAAAAAGGTTCCAATAAAAGTCGAAATGCACGTCAGCTGTCGTTTGTCTCACGCGGTAAGCCAGAAACGAATCGAAAAATCATATAATTCGTGTCGAAACGATAAAACGTGCGTGCATAATTTATTTGTCGAGGGTACAGGGAAATAAAGGAAAGAGAAAAAATAGTAAATAAATACAAGATCATAATAATATATACAAAAAAAATAAATATGAGCGGAAACAAACTTCCCGAAAAGTGGAATTGGCTTCTCTCGCAAATGGATTCCGGGAAGGTAATTAGGGGTTGAATCGGATAATAAATTTTTCCAACAATTTATTTTTGGAAACTATTTATAGTTTCTTTGTTTCTTTTTTATGGTAGATTGGTTGAGGAGACTTGGAACGGCAGTCGAGACTAGTATCTGGAAGCGTAATTGATACAAATTAACGCCTGGTATCCCGGTAAATAATCTAATTAACTGGATCAGGACGGGTGAAGTTGGGGTGGTTTTGGAAACTGTGGGGGTGGCGGTGGCTGCTCCGACGACGGCTACACTATTTTATATATAAACATTGGCACCAAATCCGAAACGCCTAATTTAATAATCGAATACAATTAAATGCACTCCGTCGGAGTGGCTTCTCTCTCTTTCTCTCAAACGCTGCAACACGACGAGTCTAGATGAAAACGTCGACCAACGAATGTTTTCAATTAGAAGGATGAGGATTCCCCACAATCAATTAAGTTTATCTTCGTGTAGTGAAGAAGTAGACAAATTCAAGTACAATAACATCTAGTAATGATTAATTAAAACTCTTGAATATTTTATGAGTATCTTCATATTGATACAGTTGAATATACCATAGCTGAGACTATAAATATACAACGATTTAAGCATCTTAAATATAAGATATGTATTGAATTATATAAAGTGATGATAGGTATGAAAGTTTATTGAATTATTATTAATTTCAATCAAATTTACTTAATTTTCTAAATAATTATGTTATAAAATAAATATTACTTAATTTATATAAACATTTCTTTATCTCGAAAAAATTGTCTTTATCATATTTTTCTTTTTGTAATAGATTAATTGCACACCTGCATGAACACCTGCCTTATTGAACAATAAGAAACACCTGTTTTTTAATTGTACACCTGCGTTATTGAACAACAAGAAACACCTGCGTTCTAATTGTACACCTGTGAAACACCTTACAACACCTGCATGAACACCTGCCTTATTGAACAATAAGAAACACCTGCGTTATAATTGTACACCTGCGTTCTTGAACAATAAGAAACACCTGCGTTCTAATTGTACACCTGCATGAACACCTGCATTGATAGTAGCAAACATTCACCTTATTTTGTCATATAAACTGATTTTTAAGAGTCGCTTCATGTTTGCTAAATAAATTAATAGTTTTTGATATAAAGTATACAAATTTAACATATTACAATAACAATAACATAATACATATTACAATGTTATCACCAATAAATAATTATTATTAATTAGTAATTGTGCATGTAAATCATGTATGAGCTTATTAAAATTCAATCTAATTATTAACTAAGTTAACTTTTTTGTAATTAGAATTAACACCTGCATGAACACCTGCGTTTTTGAACAATAATAAACACCTGCATTTTAATTGTACACCTGCATTAACACCTGTGTTTTTGAACATTAATAAACACCTGTATTTTAATTGTACACCTGTGAAATACCTGCATTGATAGTAGTATACTTTCACTTTATTTTGTCACAAAAACTGATTTTTAAAAGTCGCTTCATGTTTGCTAAATAAATTAATAGTTTTTGATATAAAGTATACAAATATATGAAATAATCAATTTTATATCAATTTGAATATTTATGAAAGTTTGTATTTATTAATATAAAAAATAATATAATTATAAATGATAGCTTACATCAAAAAATACATAAATTTTAAAATTAATTATTGAAATTCTAATGAAATTAGATAAGTTTAATTTGTCTTAAAAATGCAAGTTCAGTCATAAATTAATAATTTTGTTTATACTAAAGATGTCCCAAAATTAACGCTAGATTTGAATTAAATAGAAAATACAGATTTTATCACAATCTGAAGACTAAAAACTGTGTTTTCTATTTAATTCAAATTTTGCGTTAATTATGGGAATAGATGAAATATAAATAACAATTTAATTCTATTATTAAAAAAAATAATATAATTACTAGTTTGTCTATATGCAATGGTGGATGCGCCTGGTACTTAAATTGAAACAAATCCTCGAAAGGATATTTCAATAATACTTTTCTACTCTTTTTAATTTTATAAAAATTGTGATCGATATGAAAATGATAACACGTTTCTATATTGGATAAAAAGTATTAAGAATTTGGATTAAAAATTGTGCATTGTTTATGTTACAGTTCCCAAAGGTTAAGCAATTTGTTATGTGCACACCTGCATAATTGTTAGATAAGAAAGCAATAACAATTAGGCGAAAACGCCCGATCTACGACACGAAGAATCAGCTGCACCTGCGCATCTCAAACGTTATAACAATTCTAATTATGCAACGAAAATGAATCATCTGCGTTACTGCGATTCTCAAACGTTTAAACAATCCAATTTGGACACGAAAATTTATGCGTTTTACTTCAAATTTATTGAAAAATCTATTAAGTAATTCCCAGTTTGGAAACCGCTGCTATAAAGTATAAGTAAGTAAAAAATAGATGCTTAAAATCACTAATTTCACTTAATAATTTTATAAGCGTGAAAGCTGAGTGAGAGTGATTTCATATGTATGTATGTGCAGGGAGGAGGTTGGAGATGATGTGGGGTGAGGGAGTGAATTGAGAGGATATTAATGCGGCGATATGCTAATGAACATACCGGTAATAAATTAATTAGAATATTGTTAATTACGCAAGTCTAAATACCGAATTAGCGATTTAAATTTCATTATTCAAGTGCGAATATTCGCGTTGAATATCTACCAAAACGGCGGACGTGCGAGAGAGAGAGACAGATGGTAGCAGAGGGTTTGGATTGGTGTTGAGGAGGGATGAAAGAGAAAGAGAGGAACTTGCGTGGGATGTGTGAATAAATACGTTAATGTGGTTTTGAGGCTGATTTGCGATGCAAATTTTACCAGTTATTTAAACGCATTTCAAACCTGTCCACATTAATAACAATAACATATAAAGAGCTAAGGTAACAATAGTAATAATACTAATAATTTCATGTATAATTTTTATATAATTCAGTTCAATTCAAATGAAAATTATTTAAAATTTATTATATATTTTTATTGTAAAATATTTATATTTATTTAAATCAGTTAAAAAGAAAAATTCGTGTTTTAAAACATTTATATAAATAAAATATGTTAGGATAAAATTTACAAGTTATGTAATTTTCTATAAAATTGTTGTACGTTTATCTTTAAAGCAAAAACGTCATTAAAGTTCAGAGTTAGTATCGATTAAGATATATTATAGTGAGTTAGGTCATGTAACAGTTACGTAACTTTCTGTTTGTAACAGTTTATTTCTTCTTAGTTAAAGTCTTTAACAATAAATTAAATTAGTTATGAAAACTTTTGCGAATTAACAAAAAGAAAATATAGTTTTTAATTTAAGAATTTTGTACAATTATACGAATTAATTTTATACTAATTCGTATTATTTTGTATTTTAGATAATAAACGTTCTTAATGTTAAATTTTAAAGTTTATTTAAGATTCTTGTTCAAAATTTTCGTATACTTTTACTTAAATTATATAATAGTAAAATAATGTAAAGTTGGTTAAGTAATATCGGGTTTAAGTTAAGTAATATGAATAAGATATAGAATATAGATATAGAATAAGTTAAGAAGAAAAATCCGTGTTAAAACACTAGAATAAAATTTACAAGTTAAATAATTTTCTATAAAATTATTGTACGTTTATCTTTAAAGCAAAAACGTCATTAAAGTTCATAGTTAGTATCGATTAAGATATATTATATTGAGTTAGGTCATGTAACAGTTACGTAACTTTCTGTTTGTAACAGTTTATTTCTTCTTAGTTAAAGTCTTTAACAATAAATTAAATTAGTTATGAAAACTTTTGCGAATTAACAAAAAGAAAATATAGTTTTTAATTTAAGAATTTTGTACTATTATATGAATTAATTTTATACTAAATCGTATTATTTTGCATTTTAGATAATAAACGTTCTTAATGTTAAATTTTAAAGCTTATTTAAGATTCTTGTTCAAAATTTTCATATACTTTTACTTACATTATATAATAGTAAAATAATGTAAAGTTAGTTAAGTAATATCGGGTTTAAGTTAAGTAATAGGAATAAGATATAGAATATAGATATAGAATAAGTTAAGAAGAAAAATCCGTGTTAAAACACTAGAATAAAATTATTGTACGTTTATCTGTAGACCAAAAACGTCATTAAAGTTCAGAGTTAGTATCGATTAAGATATATTATATTGAGTTAGGTCATGTAACATTTACGTAACTTTCTGTTTGTAACAATAAATTAAATTAGTTATGAAAACTTTTGCGAATTAACAAAAAGAAAATATAGTTTTTAATTTAAAAATTTTGTACAATTATACCAATTAATGTTACACTAAATCGTATTATTTTGTATTTTAGATAATAAACGTTCTTAATGTTAAATTTTAAAGTTTATTTAAGATTCTTGTTCAAAATTTTCATATACTTTTACTTACATTATATAATAGTAAAATAATGTACTTTCTTATTTGAGTATAAGGGTGTATTTGTTAGGGTAGAAATAAAAATAGGTAAAAATAGTGGTGGAAGGGTCTGAAGAATAATTAATAATAATTAATGTAGTGTAGATAGGGTTTTAGTGTGCGATTGACGTCGCAGGTTCCGAAGGGCGATGGGTTTCGTCGTGGGGGAGAGAACACATCTATCCATCTATCTCTATACCTATATATGTGCGCCTCGAAGATTGGATCCGGGAGTAGAGAGAGAGAATATAAGTTCCTATGATGTTTATGTGGTTTAATTTCCCACATGCCATTAAAATCCGCGGAACGACGATCTAATACGTCGGGGAGCATCGCATAAAATTCATCAAAGCGGATTGAGGGATCCGACCCAGGCCTTGCCGCAGTCGCTTCTGCTGCATCTGGATGATGATGATGGTGGCATTGCCTCAACCAGCTAAACCCAGAACCTCTAAATCTGACATCTAACTCAAGCGAAATAAGAAAATAAAAGAAAACCTATTGGAATTCTTATTTATCATACCTGCTTATAAGAAGCATGGCGGATGGTTCTAGTTGAAAGTCTCCTCGTTTTGTTGTTGTTGTTGTTGTTGTTTTTGTTGTTGTTGTTATTGTTGATGATGATGGTCGAAAAGTGATGGACGTCGTTGGTCGGTGGGAGAAACGCGTCGCGACGCCGACGCCGGACACTTCCGAACGGTGCCGAATGGCCGTTGCGAGGGGTGGTGCACGTCTAGTCGCTGCCGCCGCCGAGCGCACTTTGCGGATGCTGAAGAGAACTCCGGGGTGGACGTTGGAACGGCCCGCCCGCCGCCGAACCCGAGACACGGGCCGCCACCGGGTGGGTTTAGGACACTCTCCTCTCTCTATCGATTCACCTCCCCCCGACGGAGGAACGGAAACGCCACCCCCTGCGGCTCCAGCTCCAGCCTCCAAAACACCAACACACAGCACTGCTCTTCTCTTCTCTCTGTGTGTACATCTATATACATACATACACAGCTGTACACCGCCTCTCGCACATATCTCTCACGCTCAACAAACTTTTTTAGCTCCACGTTATTTTTTTTTATTTTTGTTACTTTGCTTCGTGTAATTTTTTTTTTATTCATTCCTTCTGTTTTTCACTCTGCACAGGCATTTCCATACGAAATTAAATGGCTGACTACGGTTTTTCAGATCGATACAAATGTTGTAAAACACAAGTCACATAACGCGAAGAAACATATTTTGTCCATGGTTTCATTACCAATAAAATAACACTCCATTAGAATTATCCTAATTAGTTACAGAGCTCAAGAAATCAGTTCAAAATTAATGTTATATAACACACATTTTAATCATAACATTGAGAATAAATACAATGAAGTTTGATATATACTTAAATGAAGTTATATAACGTTTTGTTTAAAGAAACTTGAGGAGGTACCTATTGCCAATTAATTGATTTGGTGGAGTTACAAGTTTTCATAATAATATGCGAAAAACTTCGTATTCGATGAATTCATGTAGATTTTCTGATCAATGGATTCTAATTGTTTATATAATTAATTAAGTACTTGAAAAATGTTTCTTAATAGAATAAAGTCAATTTTAACAATAATTATAGAAATTTACAATTACTTAAATATCGATGGAAAAAAGAGTTTAAAAAGCGTAAAAAAAGTGATATTAGAGATAGGTCTTTATACATATATTATTATTATTACATATTATTTTTTTTTATTCATTCCTTCTGTTTTTCCCTCTGCACAGGCATTTCCATACGAAATTAAATGGCCGACTACGGTTTTTCAGATCGATACAAATGTTGTAAAACACAAGTCACATAACGCGAAGAAACATATTTTGTCCATGGTTTCATTACCAATAAAATAACACTGCATTAGAATTATCCTAATTAGTTACAGAACTCAAGAAATCAGTTCAAAATTAATGTTATATAACACACGTTTTAATCATAACATTGAGAATAAATACAATGAAGTTTGATATATACTTAAATGAAGTTATATAACGTTTTGTTTAAAGAAACTTGAGAAGGTACCTATTGCCAATTAATTGATTTGGTGGAGTTACAGTCTTCATAATAATATACAAAAAACTTCGTATTCGATGAATTCATGAATGTAGATTTTCTGATGAATGGATTATTATTGTTTATATAATTAATTAAGTACTTGAAAAATGTTTCTTAATAGAATAAAGTCAATTTTAACAATAATTATAGAAATTTACAATTACTTAAATATCTATTGAAAAAAGAGTTTAAAAAGCGTAAAAAAGTGATATTACAGATAGGTCTTTATACATATATTATTATTATTACATAATATTTTTTACTAAATTGTTCAGAATTGTACCGAGTAATATATACCGATTTACGTACCCTGCATTTTTTCTTTGTTAATTTAGTAGCATTATTTGTCTGCATTGTTCAGCATATCTGTTTATTTCTATTACAAAACAATTCATCAAATCATCATCTAAAAAAAGTTTGAAATAGTCCAGCAACGTAAAATTGATATTTTTAATGTTGTGTACGATAGCAATTAAATTCAGTGGCGACACATACTCGTCCTCCGCAGTGAAGGACATTATGGATGATGTTAAGAATTCTTTGAGACTGAATCCGGAGGTGGCGAGAAAAAGGATCAAGCTGGATCCGGATTTTGTTATTAAGAAGGAGATGGTGGACGAGGACATGCCGCCGTCTTCTATGGTCAGGGTAGAAATTAAACAGGAGCCTGGCGTTGAGGGATTCCTTATTCCTGATGCCCATGACGACGACGACCAAATCCTCAAGATTCTTTAAATGTGTTTGAAAGGTAATTCCGCGGATTCGTGGCTTCTTAAATTTGAGTTAATATTTGTATTGAAACGTTGAATTCTAGGTATGCACAAGTTCAAAATGGTTGAATTGGCGTAACAATAAGTTCACTATTGCAGGTAAGTTACTAAACATAAATACAATTTTTCAATACAAGTATTTACATCTATTTATAAACCTATAACAATTCGTTAATAATTAGCGTTATAAGCATATAATTCGTAAGATATTACATAATAGAATTATAGATTTCTTTATCAAACTTTCTATATATTATTTGTTAATCTTTTGGCACCAGCAGGTAAACCTGAACATCTCGAGTGTCATGTGAGATTCTTCGGGGATCTGGGTCGAAGGTCATGTGCGGTATGTTATCATTTTCTGTGAATTTGCAAGAAATTTACAACATTTTTAAGTGTATAACAATTGTGATTACAAAAATTTTTAATTGATAATGCAATTATTATGTTTTTGTATATTAAATACGTTTTTCATTAAAGTTAATGATTACTAAAGGATATTTAAAGGTTTTCTTACAAATTTTCAATTATTGTTGTTGTTTTATAAGAATCTTCTTATATTTTTGTTTGAAATTGAAAAATAAAGATTACAGACATAATATAATAAATGTGTATGTTTGCAGTAATGAATAATTAACGTACGTGAGTATGTATGTGGGTTCCTCTTTATTCGCTAATTCGAAAAAGGGAGTAGAGGGCTTAAAGCCAGTATTCGTAGATTTTGGAGGCAGTGTGGGGGGAGGCTGCAGCTTTTGGAAAATGGGGGGTAGATAGGTCTGGTAATAGCAGAGCCAGAGCAGATAATGAAGAAGCCCCCAACTCTTTAGCGCACTGGCATATACATACGGACGTCCGATGGCTTCATCGGGCCCTTAATCCGCTTAATAGATTCTGTCCAAGGCGCATCCCAAACCCTTTCAGCTTACCATTGTTAACATAAGATCCAATAAGTCAAACTGCAGCACCGCACCGCACCGTATCGTACCGATGACACAAAAACCCTTCCACATCCCCACAACGCACTAATCCCCCTCATCAAAACACACACGGACTTCCCTAATGGAAAATATTTGCATTCCGAAATTCAATTTCGGTTAATCACGGACAGTAAAAATAAACAAATATGCACAAATCGGTGCTGCACTTAACAGTTGGTTTGGCGACCTCAGATAAATTCTTAATAGTGAAAAACTATGGAGGGGAAAAGAGAAAATTGTTATAATTGGGTTTGGTGGAAATGTGGGCCACGCGATGAGGGTGTCTAACTCTACGGAGGACGAACACAGCTAGGAAGGAACAGAATCGATGCAATTTACTTTATTCACACTTAATGGCGAAAAGTTTTTTAATAGAGAGAGAGAGAGAGAGAAAGGGTCGTTTCTTACTCAGAGCATTGAGCTACTATGGAAGAAAATGAATCCCCGACACGAAAACAAATTTCGTCTGAAAATGATGACTAGGAAAAGAGGGTACAAAAAAAAGTAAATAAAACCCTTAGATCGAATAGTTTGCCCTTATTACAGTTGGTTACATATCCAAGAGAAATGATCATAATAAAATATAATTTAGGGGTGGAAAAAACATAAAATAAGCAATAGTTTTTATTCTCTACTTTAGAAATCTATATAAGCTATATTGTTGATATGTGTATGATTTTGTTTTAGAATTTCATTGAAATTAGTACCGAAATATTTGGTAAAGATTGTTTATATAATTAATTAAGTACTTGAAAAATGTTTCGTAATAGAATCAAGTCAATTGTATTAAAAAAAAACTGAATGAAAAGATGTCTTAATAATAACAATTACATAAATATGTATGGAAAAAAATATTAGCATCAAGCAGGCAAATATCACCCATTCGGGTAAAATCTACCAAATACATTAGTTAACTTTTAATAAGTAAACTTTAAATATCTGGTTAACAATCTTTAATACATTGTTTTTATTATTTTGTTATTAATTAAAAAGCTAATTGTTATAAATGATAAATAACTATGTTATTATATAATAAATATAAATTAAACGAAGAATGTTAAGGGATTAATGATTTTTCCACGGTTTGTTACACTCCTAATTCACGGTTCGCAATCTAGTTTTCCAATATGTGAACCCTTTAAAATTACGTCGCTCCCCCACCGGTTTATGAAAGATTAAAACCCTCACCCTTTTTGCATGCAGAAAGCGCACGAAGAAAACATACTTTTCACTACCCTCCAATTCGCGAACGGCTTTAAACATTTTTAATCAATACAGTTATATTTGTCATTTACGTACAGAAAAATAAACTAATTATTATTAAGATTTAATTAATTTAACTTTATTTTAATTAGAATTATTAACAAAATTATTAGAAATAATAAACTTATAATTAGAAAATGAAAAATTTGAATAATTCTAATAAATCAAATGTATTATATAATAATTAGTAATAACTCATACACTTTTTTTTTTAAATACTGCTCAAAGTTTAACATATTGCATACAAGTATGTAAGGAGAAAGAAAGCAGCAGAGTTAATAATTATGTAATGACAAGTATTTTTATGGCGGCAATTACAAACGGTGTTATGTAAATATGATCGGATAAGCAAAGACCTGGACGATAGAGTTGTAAATGTTTGTGCGAGAAAGAGAAATGGAAGGAAGCGTAAAGACGATGAAGTTGAGGAAGAGAGGTAAAGAGAGAGAGAGTATAGAAGGGAAACAAAGTTATTGCCATAATTGTGAAAGTGGGACAAAAAGTTTCGAAAAAAAAAATCGATGCAACTTAGTTTTCAAAGTTAACTGCAAAAAGTTTTAATAGGACTTTACCCTTCTCGCAGTGGCCCCCATTTTACTTTCCTTCAGTTCTTTGCAACGACAAAGATAACATAAATAAACAAATGCAACAATAATTGATAAATAATTT